CATGACCAGAGCGGAAGCCGGACTGGAATGGATCGAGAGCCGATGTTTCATCGAGAAACCTACCAAGCTGTTCAGCAACCGCTCTCTCAATCACCTTACCCAGGAATGGAAGATTCGAAACCGGGCGGTAATTGGATAGATCTAAGGGATCTAATGATGTTTTCTTTAAGAGCGGATGCACCACTGCCTCCTTCAGTTCCCCTGGGAATATCCTGGTGCCAAGGGACAAATTGATGATATCACCCAGGGGGGCCCGCACCTCGTCTGGACACGCTCTAATCAGCCAAGACGGGCACGGGTCAAGAGGACAGGTGGTGGGCTTTCCAGCTCGGAGGAGTCTGTCCACATCGGCTGGGGATATCCGGTCAAGTGGTCCAATACTGGACCCGAGGACAGTCGAGGGGCCTCCAGTTCCTTTATTGTATCCAAATTGGCAGGGAGGTCATGGCGGAGCAACAGGACCTTCTCCGCAAAAAAAGCTCGCAAATGCCTCACAGCTGTGTGTCAAATTGTTATTTAAATTTGGCTGTCCTTCAAGGGACGTTAAAGATCTAATTATACTAAATAATTGCGCCGGGCGAGAGCTAGCGGAGGCAGTGGAGGCCGAGAAGTAGGACTTCTTAGCGACCTTCACTGCCATCTCGTAGGTTTTCATAAAAACCCTATAAGATGTTCTTGAGGCTCCGTCACGGGCACCCCGCCATACTCGCTCTAGCCGTCTGAGGTCCCGCTTCATTTTCCGAAGCTCCTCGGTAAACCAGGGAGCCCAGTTTCTGCGGGGTCGCAGAGGGCGCCTAGGTGCGATCTCATCAATGGCTGCTAGGAGCTGGATATTCCAGCCCTCAACAAGCTCAGTCAATGAGTCGCCAGGGGGAGCAAGGTCCCGCAAGGCCTGACGGAATCTATCAGGGTCCATCAGCCTCTGCGGGCGAGCCCAAATTGGCTCGCCACCTAAGCAGGGTGGGGGTGGAAAATCAATCCTGGCTTTCAGAGCGTAGTGATCAGACCATGGCACCTTCATTGAAGGAGACATGATCACATCTATACCAATGCCAAAGATCAAATCCAACGTGTGGCCTGCTTGATGCGTGGGGCCCGAAACAAACTGGGAGAGGCCTAGTGTCGCCATGGAAGACACCAGGTCCAGAGCCTGTGAGGAGGGAGTGGCATCAGCATGGATGTTGAAGTCCCCCAATACCAATAGGTTAGGGAACTCCAAGGCCCAGCCGGCCACCGCCTCCAGCAGGCCTGACAGGGTGGCTGCTGGTGCGCTAGGTGGCTGGTACACCAGCCAGACAGCCAAGCTCACCTCAGAGCCCCACACTAGGCCAACACATTCAATGCCGGGGATCGATGGCGATGGTAGAGCCCTGAAAGAACAATCTTCCCGGATTAATAATGCCACCCCTCCCCCCCCAGACCACAGTCCGCGACTGGTGGAGGACGGAGAAACCCGGGGGCGCCATCTCTCATAAGGTAACAGTTTCCCCTTCACGCACCTAGGTCTCCGTCACACAAGCCAGGTCAACCCCCTGTGAGATAAAGAAATCTCGCAGGGTGGCGGTTTTGTTGCCTATAGACCTGGCATTGCACAACACCAGTGACGGAGGTGAGTAATCCTTGCTCACCCTACCTTCGTCTCTCGGGATGGGGCGCAGATTGGAAAGGGTACGAGCATATCTGTATCTCGATCCCCTTCGCCTATGAACATCTGCCCCCACCGCCATCCCTCCCTCGCCCCACTACGGTAGCAATCCCAAGCCTCAAACCAACCTCCATTTACAAAATAGAAAAACAAATCAAACCAAAAACAATTATACCAAACAAAAACAAATCCCCACCCCACTCAATATCCAACCCCAAACCAAAATAAAACGGAACAAAATAAAAATACATCAATAAAAACCACCGTTCATGGTGGTACAACAAAGTAGAAAGTAAAAACCCCTTTAAAACACTTTAAAATATATAAAAACATTTTTAACATTTGCTGCAGCAACACCAGTGTCGTTAAAACTGTAGCGGTGGTGAGTGTGGGCCCCGCCCCCAAGGCATGGTGGAATGGGCCTACAGGAGGGAGCGGCCTTCCTCAACACCCACAGTGCAGCAGCAGCAGCGGTGTCCCAGTGCCTCAATGAGGCCTTTTAAGCTGTGGCGGTGGTGAGTCAGTCTGGGCCCCGCCCCCTGGGCCAGGTGGAATTAGCCTGAGGAGGGAGCAGCCTTCCCCAACTCACAGTGCAGCAGCAGCAGTTCATAATAATTCAAATGAATTTTTATTGGGGTGATCTGTGCTACAGATGATTTTTCATCAAAGGCAATTTTAATTTATTATTGGCATCTTCCTTTCCTCCTTGTCCTCACTGCCACTTAGTAGGTTTGGTGTCAGGGCTGTGAAGATAGCCGGCCAGCCACCAGAGATCAGGAAAAGGCGAGAGGCTTGGAGTGCATTTATTTATTATGGGTTTTTTTGGTTTTTTTTTCTTTTTCTTTTTTTTTGCTATATACATATTACATTAATACAAAAAGGATTACAATTAAATGAATTGTGAAATTAAAAATACAAAAAACATACAAAAATACAAAGTAAAAAAAATAAAAGAAAAAGAATAAAGATATACAGGAAAAAAAGAAATAAAAGAAATAGGTTGACTTCCTTTGGCCACTATATGGGTTCTATCTCATATTTTGGTTGTCTGTAATCATTTTTTACTTTGTGGAGAGTCCTGTGGAGTTTTCAATCTAGTCTAAGCCAATCATAATTTTGGGAACTGACTTTCTTCCTATAATTTGTAAAGACATCCCATTCTCTCCTGATTTTTTCACTTGGTTGGTTTCTTACTATTTCTGTTAATTTCGCCAGTTCTAGATACTCACTTAACTTTAATAATCATTCTTCTTTTGCTGGAATTGTGTTGCTTTTCCAATATTTTGCAGTCACAATCCTGGCATCCGTTATTGTGTACAGAAAGACTCTATTATCCTTTGGGATAATAATGTTGTAAATATTACTTTTAAAAAAAAGTGTATTTTAGCATTTTTAAAAAATTCTTCATAAATCATGTCCCAGAATAATTTAATTCTGGGGCATGTCCACCACATGTGGAATAGATTCTTATCCTTTGGTTGCATCTCCGACACCTGCTGCTGATTTTTTAAAATTCATTTTCGCCAATTTTGAAGGGGTCAAATACCACATATACACCATTTTTAGAAAGTTTTCTTTAATTAGGTAGCAGACTATAAACTTAATGTCATTTTCCCAAAGGTTTTCCCATTTCTCTAATTCTATGGTGTATCTGAAGTCTTGGGCCCATTTTATCATCACATCTTAACCATTTCATCTTTTTAGATGCCATTTGAGAGCAATTCCCTATCTTTAAAACTGTCATTGAGACCAACTCTGTCAGCTCAGGCAAGGGACATGGCCAGTGAGGTCGGTGGTAAACCAGCAATATCCCACTTCCTACCTCAACCACTGTGGTTGCAGCCCACCTGCTCTTACTGTCGTCTCCATTTTCTCAAACAAACAAAACAAAACAAACAAAAAATAATGAAAACAAAACCCGCATACAAATCTAGATAGGGAATTGGTTTGGAGTGCAATTAACTTTTATTGATCGGACCACAAACACACAGAGAACGGGCAGGCACAAATCCCCAGGATAGAGACATTGCAAAGACTGAGGTTCTGACTGCTCCTCCCTTCACTTTCATTACCTTGAGCTCTCCTGTATACCAAGGAGCCAAGTGGGCTCCGCAAAGTGGGAGGGGGCACTCAGCAATCATGTAAGTGGTCTGAGGCATTCCACAAATTGTCAAGGACGTCAACAGGAATACTAGTCCTATCATCTGGAAAATCCCGCAGAGCTGTCTGGAAGCTAATTGGAACCGTCAGTTGCTGATGGTAGACCATCCTAATAGGTCCCCCGTCTTTGCAGATGGGGAAAAAAAGGTACTGAAAACCTGAATTTCAACATGAAGTGATCTAACCATGACAAGCGACTGATGTCAATACCCCCCCCCCATATTCAGATCACCCTCTTCCTGCCCACTTGAGAAAACAAGGTGCAGAGTATGGCCTGCCAACATGTGTTGAGCTGATGTTATGCTGGACAGTCCCGTGGTTATCATGGCATTCATGAAGTCCTGAGCCACCCCCAGAGCCAATCGTCTCTGCATGGACATCCCTGAAAATCAACAGTCTGGGAGTCTTCAACACTGTCATTGAGACCAACTCTGTCAGCTCAGGCAAGGCCAGTGAGGTCGGTGGTAAACCAGCAAAATCCCACTTCCTACCTCTCCCCTACCCCAACCACTGTGATTGTAGCCCACCTGCTGTTACTGTCTTCTCCATTTTCTCAAACAAAAAAATAAATAATGAAAACAAAACCCCCACACAAATTAAAAGTTAAAACAATTAAGTTATCAAAAGTCTTGTTAGACTGAGGTACTGGCCACTGAGGTACGTGGCCCCACCAAGCAACTGAAGGGCAAATTTGTTTCCAGTGTCTTTATGTCAATGTCAAGTTTATCCAAAGCTTTGTCCAGTAGACTGTTTACTCCTGGGTCGCTTAGCTTTGCTCTTGCTTCAAATTCGTAGAGCAGCAGTATGTGTTTGTTGGGTCTTTGGGGAAATTACATTTTGAGTAGAAATTGGGTCATGTTAGCTGGTCCACTAAAAGAGCTTGTGTACCGAGATTGGCAGGAAGACCCCTAATCTAGTCATGTAGCTGGTGGAGAAGTACAGATCTGGGGGATATGCCTTTGCTGTACCAGTTTCTGTGGGCTTCAGAATTTTCCTGATCTTCCACCATGGCTGGATGTGTTCAAAGGCTTGAGGCAGCAATTTCTTCTTGGACACTTCATATAAATCTCTCATTAATCTTGCGAAGTCCTCACTCTACAAAGCCAAGTTTCAAACCTATACAGCAAGGAAGAAAGCAAGCCAGGATTTTTTTTAAAAAAACAACAACACAAACGCACACACCAAAAATCAACAACTCTGTCTTACATGGGGGCTTGTCTCTTCTGATAAACTAAGCATGTTCGGTATTGACTTCAAGTACAAACTGACATACATTTTGGATTAACAGGAAATAACCAGCAGTTTGGCATCAATAGCTTATTTCAACAGGTGATCATTCTGCCAATTAATTTTTTGTGTGCCACGAAACAAATTTCCCACTCCCAAATAGTTTGCCTTGTGGCAGATTTTAAAACCCACCCATGAGAATGTCTATATGCATTATTTTTGATTTGGATTCGTTAATATTGAATCCGGCCACTTTGCCTAATTGTGTAGTTCTTTCATTAATACATGTATTGGATCTTTTGGATTCAAAAGCATAATTACTACATCGTCTGCAAAGAGACTTATTTTATGCATTTCCTTTTTTATTTCTGTTCCTTTTATGTACAGATTATTTTTAAATGAAGATGGCTAATGGTTCAATTGAGAGGGCAAACAGGACAGGCAACGGGGGGCATCCCTGTCATACCCCCCCCCTTGGAATAGAGAAATCTTTGGAATCTATACCATTCATCCTGACTTAAGCATATAACTCCTTGAAATACAAATGTCTTCCAGATAGATTGCCCATAAAGTTATATATGTTTCCATATTGGATATTAGGGCTCGTTACACTGATCAACACAACTGATTATTTAAATATGTATTTAGTAGATACATATGTGATTAACCCACTACCACACACCTGATTCAAACATAATCAGGTTACTTGGAGGCAGATAATGGAGTATTCCTTTAAAAAGATAACTATCACCTTATCAGTTACTTTCTTAGCTAGACCTCCCACATGCCAATAAATTAACCTACAATGAAGGTCTGGAGTAATTCTCCAGAGGATATATAGTTATCCTCCTTGGCTATTATAGTATCATCCATGTCAAGGCAACACACATTTGAATTCCTGATTTGGTATAATGGTAGTAGTTTGTGGTTGATAATTAAGACCAATTTCGTCCATCTCTTTAAAATCTCCTCTCCACTCAAGAAGGGGTAGAGCACCCTTGGTTGTCCTTTGGGGGTAAAAGTACAGATAAGAGCAAAAGTGGAGCTTAAGTATATAAACTGTTGGTCCCAGATATGTATTGCTTTAAACCCTAGGTGCATGAAAAGAGTAACTCACACCAATTCTCCCATCTCCAGAACTCGCTTTCCTGTGGGTGGGACTCATTCTAAAATAGAGATGAGAGGAACAGACAGGAGGCAGAAAAACCCAGACCTACCTCTGTAATTCTTCAGTGTTAGCTGACGTTTGGGCAGGGGGCGGGGGAGGCAGGCAAGACGTTTCTTTTCTCCAGACTTTGGTGCAAAGTGGCAGCTCTCTCATAGCCTATCGCTTAAAACTGATGAATGATTTTGGCTCTGTGGAGAATAAAAACAATATTAAAGTGGTCCTTGCCACCCAATAAAATAGATAACTGTTGAGGCAGCAGCTGTATTAAAACCAGAGGCGTAGGCACTAATCACATAAAAAGGGAAAAGAAAACAAACTCAGTTAAAACTGAGGAGCTCAGCCAAAAACATCCTTGCCACCATCCTAACCAGAAGTCAACAGGTGATATGCAACAGGTTACTGCAGTGCTGGAAAAAAAGATGTATACAACTGGCACTGAGCCTCCAGTGAAACGGGCACCAGAAGTAGTTAAGAACATTCCTGGGTGGGTGGGGAGGATGGAAGCCTGGAAGGAAGTATTGGGTATAGCAGAAAGTAGAGACTGATTCACCAACCTTAAAACAGCAAAACAATTTGTGAACCCCACTGAAGTACACCAATAGGAATCCTGTACTGCCCCTATTGCCCAACTTCCAGAACATGTACTCAGAAAACTGGGTCTTCCCAATAGGACGCCTGGTGCAGACTAATGATTTCCTAAAAATCACTGCAACCCCCCTTCCCCACCCACATGACCTGGGTTGCTGTGCGTAAGAGATCTGCTTCATTCAACCAGGTCTCTGTCACACATGCCAGGTCAAATCCTTGATCCACAATCAGGTCGTGGATGGCAGTGGTTTTATTCATCATTGACCTGGCATTGCACAGCAACACTTTCAGGTCATCTGGGTTTCCCTTGCTGATTCCAGTATCCTTCCGGTCAGGACCAAACCTGGAGGCAGGGATAGTCCTCAAACAACGACTAAGCCTGCCTCCTCGGTAATGACATGGTCTGGTCTTAGCATAACTCCTCCTCCTGCCCGTGATCACTGAGATCGGGTCTCCCAATACATCCCCCTCTGTGGAACCTGCCCCAGCCATTCTATTGGCTGAGGCCCACTCCCAGGCAGCCCTGACCCTTCCCCTTAAAATGCAAAATACAAACTATATAGTAACTTAACAGAATAACAAAAATAAAAACAAAGCAAGAAACAATAGTGCTCAAATTAAACTACTCCCCACCCTGTCTAAATACTTATCCCACCCCAAGCAGAAATAAAATAATAAAATAAAATAATATTATACGAAACAACCACCACCATTTAAGGTGCAGCAAATTAAAAGCACTTAAAACATTTTAAACCATGTTTGTCCCTTGCTGCAGGCCTCTAAGCTGTAGTGATGAGTGCAGGCCCCGCCCCCAGGCCAGATGGAGTTGGCAGGAGAGGGAGCGGTCTTCCCAGCACTCACGCGAGCAGCAGCAGCAATGTCCCGGAGGCCTGGGTTTGCAGTTGATACAATTAAATTTGGTGGTGGTTGAGGGTTATATCATGCATGCTGGCATGTGCACAGAGTGCAGTCAGCCCGAGAAGTATGTAATTGAACTCGGGACACTGTTCATAGAAGAAATATGCCGGACAGCTCAGTAAGGTCAGCAAGGACAGTATATTTTACTGACTGGTAGTAGAATAACTATGTTCAAGTAGAAAGTGATTCTGCCTGTGCCTGCCTTTCATTCCACAAAGAAACAAAGGTCTTTCCAGCAAAGAAAGTAGAGATCCAACAGAGATTCATCACAAGAAGCCTATCATCACCTGAACCCTATCAGCTTGTTACAAACACATGGCTAATTATACTCTGACTTTTGCCTCTGATTCACACCTCCCATTAATCAGCCATGACTTGGCTTTTTCTTGGCAAGCATAAAGTTACAAACCCCAAAATAGGGACTATGCAAATGTAATGGGAATGCAAATGGTGGCTAATACTCAGTAAACTCTGATGTGGGTGGGTCCCTAGGAAAAAACCAAAAAATAATAATCTTTTTTTCCCCTTCCAACTCTGAAGACAGTGGAAGGTTGGGGTCACCATAAAGAGGTTCCACATTCAAAATATAGACAGTAGCAATTCATGATGGAGGCAGGAAGCCTGAAGATCCTTAAAATGTTAGAGGATTAAACAATTTAGATTGAAGGACAAAAACAAATAATGGAATGAAGCATATGTAGGGTGAAGGGAAAGAAGAATCCTTTCTTTCATTATTCCCTATGAAATTGACAATGATCAGAATCTGTATTAATATGCAATGAGTACTTTTACTAAATCCACACAGGCCCAGTTAATACGAAACTGATAGTGAATTTGAAATGAATTCTGAACTGTAGGAACAGATATTTGAATAACAAAATAATGTAGGACTGAGAATTATCTTTACAAGCCACATTTTCACAATAATGAATAAACTTGGGGTTTGAAATTGTTTTTCAGAAAGTATTTTTAACAATATTGGAACACAACACAATGATGGACTTTTCAGTTTTGCAGTCTGTGTACACATCAGTAATGCACACTAAATAAAACAAGAGACTTTAGTTGTCTGGACAATATTCTTTTTAAAGTTACAGTGGTCAGTTTAAAGGGACAATGTCTATTGCCTTTCTTTACCTAATATGTAAACATTATGAACTTGATTTCACTTCTTTACTTAGATGGGTACAAGAGCACTTGTGCAATTATGGCAGACAAGAAAACAGTATTTCTTTTACAAATCCTGAACTTTGTAATAATTCTATCAATATTGTTTGTCGCAACAACCTGAAATTTGATCCAAAGAATCGATGTGTTGATATAATGGCCAAATACCAGAAAGATCCAATGAAAATGGGTAAAATGCAAAGGATTTTTGAAAAGTCAATTTGAGGGACAAGTTTCATCTGTTTGCAGTTGCTTTTTGCACACCCAATCATTTTATCTACCTTCTGCCCATTTTCAAAGTGCAGGGCTTTAGCACACTCTGCAATGTGAGAAAGCCCTAATCCTAATATTTGGGCATATCAGTGAAGCATACAAACAGGCCATTAAACCTTGTTTATTCCATTCAGCTGCATGAAGAAGCTGACCCCCTTTTGCTCCTCATGCAATGACACAGACTGCACACTGAAGTAAGTTTAAAAATGTTTTACTTACTTATTTGAGGTCCCAGTAGTGCATTGTCCTATGCAGCAACAATAAGAAATGCAGGTAAAATTATTGTTAGGTGTAATACGGCAAGGTCGCTTCAGACACAGGTCTAGAGCTGGGTGCTATTGAGCAGCACATCCTCCCTCTATGGCTACATAATGAAAGGAAAATAAGAAATGCATGACTTCTTCCCTGATGTGGCATGACCTAACTGAGCCTACTCAACCCCCCTCCCCCCTCCCCCCTCCCCCCAGTGTCTCAACAAATGAAACTGATTTGTAAAAATGTTACATGGAAAAAATACGAGAGATATTACACATACTTCTGTAAAACAAGAAAATCTTTAATAAAAAGGGGGGGGAGAAAAGAACTGAGCCTACTCAAGCAGTTTAGAACTCTGATCATTAATCTCTTCATATACTAACTAGCAATCGTGCAGATACATTTGATTGTAAAATCTGATAAAGGAGGACTTGCTCTCTGTCCTGAGAAATTCAGAAGCTCCTTTAGCTGGGACACAGGGCAGGACCTTATCTGTTACAGTGTCCAGTTTATGGAACTTTCCCCCTTGGAACACTAAATTGGTATATTCCTTCATCAGGTGAATTGAATCTTGGTAGAAATGCATGAAGAATTGGTCATTTATATACACTTAGCTAAAGCCCCACCTTTTAGCTAAAGGACACCTAGATTGCTATTGGTGTGTGTTTTCTCTCTTTTGCAGGCTGTCTGCTGATGATCTATGGAATAATCTGGAAGGTTTGCCTGGCATCTGCATAAAACTATGCTAATGCTACCTACCCACTTTCATCCAAAATGCCAGTAGCAAATACTCCGATCAAAACCTCTTGGAAACCCTTAACATGTATGTGCAGTCTTGTCTGAGGAAGAAATTTCATCTTCACTTCAAGACCAATTTTAGGAGAAGAACTGGCAGCTTCTCTAGTAACAATTTTTGTTTCATTGCCCACATTTAACTATTAGGCTACTGATCACAATGAAACAGAGAGCAGGAACTTTAGTCTTTTCTAACAATGTCTATAAATATTTTATTGACTGCCTTGTCTTCCAACTCTTTAAACGTAACTGTTCTCGGTTGTTATGAGGTAATGAACTAAATGTTATATGAGTTCTGAGCTGGCGTGGAGAATGGTTCGTTTTTGATCATACTAAATAAGGAGTTGAGTTTATGGTGATGTTAAGAGATGGAACTCTCTGCTTTCTCCTCTGTTGTGTTTTTATTTAGACTTAGAAAATTGGCTATGTTGGAAATTGTTCGGCATTGTTGTGTTACAATTCTTTAAATTGTTCTTCATCTCTTTTTCTTTTTGTCTGAAATTTAATGCATGTTGAATTATCCTGATCTAATGAAAAGTTTTGAGTGTGTGTTTAGTGTTTTGTCTTGCATTTCATTTGACTGCATACTGCAAATTTCAACTGTGAAACATGTTCCTGTTCCAGTAAATGTGCACATTTTCTGCTGGTACAATCATAGGAATGTGTGAACAGCCTGGTAAACCTATGGTATTGGGAAACCCACTAATTTCATAGAAATCTTCCTTTATAGATGCAAGCTGCTGGTTGCTCATAAGAAACTGTAAAATCTCATCAACGCGATGCATCATAGCATTGAAAAACATGTTAAAGCAGCAGCTGACAGAGGACATAGATATATCCATGCTTTCAACCATAACTTCTTGAAACTAACCAGTTGTCAGGACAGAGACTCACAAGTAATCTTTCTTCCTTTGGGTGGGTTGTGTACTTCTTGTAGGAAGGCGAAGTGTGATTTCATGGTGTTTACATACGAGGTGGTGCGTTTTCTTTTGATAGGGTTTTCCAATCCCCTCACATTTAATGTAATTGCTTTTAAGCTAGCCATCTTGTTTATCTACTTTATAGGATGATTCTCTGCCAACCACTGTGTGTGCTAGTGGAGCCTATGTTCGGAGTAGGGGATAATTTCCCCAGTCAACCCATCTGGGTTGCACTCTGTCCCTCACCTTGTATTTTCTATTGAACCTATTAAGCTGACCTAGATTGTGGTGGGTGGGGAGGAAGGTGGCTAGAATGTGGGTAGGGGAGGAAGGGGGCTAGACTAAGATTGTCTTCCATAAATACGGTTTAAACAATGAGTCTGTAAGTGACTGTGGAGGCCAATTCTGGATCCACAGTGGGGATATTGGTTTCCATGCGGGAGTTGATCAAGGTGTGGATTTGCCAAGCATGCCTTCCTCTTAGCACATTTCTCCCTTGCGTCCTGAGTTTGAGTGTCTGCAAAGCCCATGACACCTTTGGTAAAGGCTGTTCTCCAATTGGAGCGCTCACAGAAAAGTGTTTTCCAATTGCTGGTCTTTATACTACATTTTAAAAAAATAATAATAATTACCTTGAGGCAGTCTAAACCTCTTTTGTTGACCACCAGGATTACGGTTTCCATTTTTATAAATATTTTTATTAATTTTTCATTAATAACGTTCCAATTAATAACATATCAAATCTTGCCACATCATAATACAAATAATAAAGCCAACTAGACATTCCAAATTATATTTTAGAAGGACTTCCCATGTTCTGGCTGGTCAGGAGAATTTTTTTATTTCTTGTTCCTACTTTTTATCTTGTTTATTCCGAATGTCATAGTTCTGATCTTAACCTTTTATTTTATCATCACAGTCACTGACTTGTTCCTATTTTTTCTCTCTTGTTTATTCCCATGAATTTAGACGCTATGGGTACGTCTCCTTGTTTTTGTATCAAAAAAAATCTTTGATAAAAACTAAGTAAAAATAAAACAAGTAATCTTTGTATTGGAGGAATAAGTTTGGCAATTGCCTGGCATAGCTCAGTCAGTAGAGCATGAGACTCTCAACCCTAGGGTTGTGGGTTTGACCCCCATGTTGAGCTAAAAAAAATCCTGCATTGTAGGGTGTTGGTGCCTTACCACTCTATGATTCTATACCCTAAGTTGTGGCTATAGCAGATGGAGATGAGTCACTCCACATTGGTCTAGTCAATGCAAACATCTGTGCTATACTTTCTTTCTCCTGTGCCTACTCCAAAGATGATGAACCAAAAGTCACATTACATTACTAATGAATAAATAAAGAATTGCTCTATCTGTTGAAACACTATGTGTCACTCAGTGCAGTCTGCTCAGAAGTTCCCTCTCAGCTGTACCAGCTAGAAGTACAAGTTATAGCTGTACACACTCACACTATCTGAAGAACAGTGCAAGTTTCATCCGTACAAACCAAACCAGTCAACACGTGCAAACAATGTGCTTTTCTGAACAAAACCCAACTCCTCACAATAAGCTACTTAAAAAGATTATCCTAAGGCCAATGTTATATGTGTGCGCTCCCTAAATTCTCTCAAACACTCTCTACAGACAAATAGTGAAAATCCAAATAAGTCTCTCTTACCCTCAGAATAAGTTTCAGATAAAAATAAAGGCAACAAACACAGAGCAGAATAGTGAGACAGAGCTGGATGCCATGACTACTAAATGCCCCTCTCTGCTTCCTGCTGTTTCAGGAGGAACTTCTGTGTGTGCTAATGGAGCCTATATTGGGAGTAGGGGATAATTTTCCCCCTCCCAGAAAAGTATCCATGAGGAGCAGAGCCATTGCAGCAGGTGTTTCATAGCAAGGGAGAGGGAAGGTCAGAGTCAGATCCCTTGGCTATCTGGTCTTTTTCCAAGCATATGCTGGAATCTATTAGGAAGCTTCATGAAGTAAGCTAGCACGTATGAAGCCATTTGCCCCAACAAAGTGTTAAAAGCACTACATGACTCAGTCATATTTTTGTTTTGGTTTTTACAATAGCCTACAATTGTATGAACCCACAGATTTTGTGGGTCAGTAAGGGGAGTGAATAATAAAGACACCTTCCTGCTGAAATTAAAATGTGAGATCTTAAAAATGCTTGAAAATTGAATGCATGACCCACATTTTACATTGAAATACCTGCAACTGAGTCTTTTTCTTTACCTTATCAAAATTCAGCTCAGTTTAAGAAAACCTGAGAATAGTAACAATGCTCCATCTAGTGGAAATAAAGAAAAATTGTATGAATAAAATCAAGTTGCTATGTCCAATCGATCTAGGCAACTCTTCAATTCACAGGGAGGGTTCATGAATTTATGCATTGTAGAGTCTCACTAATTAGAAAAGCACTGAAATGGATACTCCAGTCCCATAGGATAGTTCCCACTGAGTTTATCAAAAACCCTCAGCTCCGTAGGAAAGCCCATTTCCTTCCAAGAACTGTCTTAGAAGAATCTTAAGACCTAAGAATTACATAGGAAATTACCACACACTTCAGGATTTAAATTGTCTTTCATTACTGGCGTGCTACAAAGGAAAGAGTGCTGGAATGCTACTTTGAAAGACTTAATGTGAACTGACTTCTTACAACAGTTCTAAAAGGGATTGGAAGAATTCACAGGGGATATTCTTATAGATAGCTGTTGGTGAAATGGATGGACCATGTTCAAAGGCTTTATTTATCTGAATACCAAGTACTGTGGAAGTGTCTAGATAGTTGACCTGAAACTGTAGGAATAATGCTAGTCTTAATGAAACTGTGACATGGTCCAGCAGGAGACAATTTGATGTCTGGCTGAGCAGCTAGAGGACAGGTATATTAACCTTGATAATAAAAGGACCCCTCGGACGGTTAAGTCCAGTCAAAGGCAGCTATGGGGTTGCAGTGCTCATCTTGCTTTTCAGGCCGAGGGAGCCGGCGTTTGTCCACAGACAGCTTTCCGGGACATGTGGCCAGCATCACTTAACCACTTAACGGAACACCGTGACGAAAGCCTGAGCACACAGAAACAGTGTTTACCTTCCCACCGCAGTGGTATCTATTTATCTACTTGCACTGGCATGCTTTTGAACTGCTAGGTTGGCAGAAGCTGGGACAGAGCAATGGGAGCTCACCCTGTCATGGGGATTCGAACCGGCAACCTTCTGATCGGCAAGCCCAAGAGGCTCAGTGATTTAGACCACAGAGCCACTCGCGTTCCTAGGCATTAAACAGGTTAGTCAGATGGTAGATGTTATTCTAATTGCCCCGGGTATATAAATTGCCATGTTTGCTGTCACCTAGTAACCTTGGTCTGCAAGAAGGAAGGACACTGTTGCACTGGATGAATGATCTGGTATAGATAACAGAAGAGGGGTGAAAACCTCATTGCACAGGTCTTTATAAGGAGAACAAGTTAGCAGTACATCCGCTGCTGATTCAATAGATTAGTCTCCACATGGAAACAATCATTTTTCAAGAGGAATGTGACAGAAATGACCCTTAGGTATGGCTGAGGGCAGTATGCTCAGTCTTGCATCTGTATTTTAAAACTGTTAAGTTTTGCAGATAGGATGTGGGGTATTATGGTATCAGCAGTTTTAATTCCTTTCATAATTAATCCATAGCATGGAATTTGCCCTTTTCACAGCTGCCACACACAGGGTTGGCATATTCTTTGAGCTATCCACTACAACCCTAAGATCTCAATCCTGGTTAGTGTGTATGTGAAATTAAGATACATGTTTTTTGCCCCCAAATACACATGTTCACATTGACCGCTCCCCGCTTAAAACGGGGGGTGCCCTTTGTGTGGATGCGCACAGCCCTGGATCTGGAGCGGCCCCATCAGCATAGCCTTGGCTTTGCCTTCCCTCAGGTGGGATACCTGGAGGTCCCCGCCTACCTCAGTCAGTTGTCCAATCCCACCTGGGGGAAGCGTTGCCAAGGAGACCAGGCCAGGTAGGGGAGGGATTACCTGCCCACACAATAGAGGGAGGATCTTACCTGGGAATCCTCACTTGGCTCCAGAGCTTCTCCCACCCTACCCACCCTCAGTTAATGTCTTCCTTTGCAGGTTAACTTTTCTTCATAGGTTTTGCAGGTTAACTTTTCTTCACAGGTATGCGGGCGCTGCTACGTTAAGGTCGCTGTTAAAGGGCCGGAAAGGAATTTCCCTGCATTGGCAGGTTTCGCCTTTCCCGTAGCAAAACGTCACAACTTTGGCGGTATCAGGCCTTGGGCGGAATCCTTTAGTCCATCTTCCTCTTTGCGGCGGCGATACCAGGGTTCCCCGTTAAAGGGGTTTCTGAAGGGAGGCTTTGACCGTACGCCGAAAGGTCGTCATTGCTCTCCCCTGCGGCGGCGGCGTAACGGGGGCAGCTATCTCTGCTTGAACATATGTTCTCCAGAGCCGGCCCATCCCCCCCCACACACTGGATAACCCTGAAGCTCCCTAGGTCCCCGGCTGGGGACTGGGGAGGGAGAACGCCCAATGCCTGAGCCAAGGTCTACCCACATTTGAAATTTAATAAAGTTGTGGCCAATTTAATCCCATAGCACGTTGTCTTGAGTCGTTATTCCACATGACGGGGGAGGCCGCTCGGGATCTGGGGACTCCACCTGTCCGCGCAATGAATTGCATTTGCCATTTTACTACCCATCTGCTCAGTTTGTTAAGAGCTCCATGAGCAGATCCTCAATATGTTTTTGTTTTAATGTCCCTGGACAATTTAGTATCATCAACATCCTTGACCACTAGTCATTCTAAATCATTTATGAACAGGTTAAAAATCATGGGTCCCAATACTGCTTCTTGAGAGGGGGGAGGGTACACTTTGTACATCTCTGCATTCATAGAATCATAGAATCATAGAATCATAGAGTTGGAAGAGACCACAAGGGCCATCGAGTCCAACCCCCTGCCAAGCAGGAAACACCATCAGAGCACTCCTGACATATGGTTGTCAAGCCTCTGCTTAAAGACCTCCAAAGAAGGAGACTCCACCACACTCCTTGGCAGCAAATTCCACTGTCAAACAGCTCTTACTGTCAGGAAGTTCTTCCTAATGTTTAGGTGGAATCTTCTTTCTTGTAGTTTGGATCCATTGCTCCGTGTCCGCTTCTCTGGAGCAGCAGAAAACAACCTTTCTCCCTCCTCTATGTGACATCCTTTTATATATTTGAACATGGCTATCATATCACCCCTTAACCTCCTCTTCTCCAGGCTAAACATGCCCAGCTCTCTTAGCCGTTCCTCATAAGGCATCGTTTCCAGGCCTTTGACCATTTTGGTTGCCCTCCTCTGGACACGTTCCAGTTTGTCAATGTCCTTCTTGAACTGTGGTGCCCAGAACTGGACACAGTACTCCAGGTGAGGTCTGACCAGAGCAGAATACAGTGGCACTATTACTTCCCTTGATCTAGATGCTATACTCCTATTGATGCAGCCCAGAATTGTATTGGCTTTTTTAGCTGCCGCGTCACACTGTTGGCTCATTCAGAGAACTTAACATTTATTCCTGCTCTCTGCTTCCTACTACTTGACCAATTCTCAAGCCACAGGAAGGCATTCCCTGTTATTCCTTGACTGCTAAGCTTACTCGGGAGTCTTTGGTAAGTAAGTACCTTACTGAAGCTTTTTAAAAGTCCAGGTGAACTAGGTCAAGCTGCTAGGACAGAGTGGGGCCCTACTTGTGCAATAACTATAATTCCTTTTTTTTTTTTTTTTTTTACACCAGGCCTTCACGAGCTGTTATACACCAAACCAAACACAGCCCACTATCCATATTGTGGTCTTCCTGGTGCTGTGTGCCTCATACCATGTTTTGCAGTCCCAGACTGGTAGCAACGATAGGGGCTGTTTTAAACTCCAGGTGGCCCATTATACGTGGAGTTGTTTAGCCTGGTGAGTCATAAACTGCAGGCTCTCTTTATGCTGTAAACATTTAACTTCGTGAGTTCTTTTTTTTTGCTTTAGCATTTGAGATATTAGTTGGCTTGTTGGGATAATGCACTTGCTCCACAAAGACTCCTTTTACCAACAAAATGGGGGCATATACATCATTGTTACTTTCATTACCTTTGTGTATAAGCTACAG